TTTCATGCCTCTTTGGGTGCATATGTATAAAAAGGCGTCTCGGTAATAATACAGTGATGCTATTGATAATAGTGATAACGATTATTATCAATCACCAGGGGCCAGACAATCACTCTGTGCCCGCTGACCAAAATGAATCTCTGTCTGACTCTTTCTCTGCTCTGTCTCTGGTCCCTTCCTACTTTCCTCACCCTTTTAGCTTTGTGTCTCTGTCATTTCCTCCCTCACATTGACTCTCTCCTTTGAAAGGCCATAGTGCAGAACTAAAGTACTTTTTATCATTGCTATGATTATGGGATTGAATGTAATGCCTATGTCTGACCCTAAAAACCCAAAGCAAAGCTGTGGTTTATGCATATGACCACTCTTATTGATTTTCCCCCAAATCCTTGATACTAAAAGCATTCATTCCCTGTTTTTAACTGTGGGCTCTTTGAGAGCAGAGACTGTTTTGAAGCCGTGGTGGGTACCTCCGGGAGCCTGTCCTGTTGGCAGTGATGATCATCAGAGCAATCGTAGCGACAATCTGTCATTCCAGGGGATACAGGTAGAACACATTGCTGCTGCCCACATTGGAGATGCAGCGACTGCAAAGGGAGGCATAACAAAGGGAACTGATGATTGCACTGGGTGTTTCACCCAGAGCTTCAGAGCTGGCTGGTGCAGGTGGCAAGTCCTGCTGGGTTGGAGCACATTGTTCCTCAGCTTTCAGCACAGGCTGTCAGGCAAGAGAGCACAGAGGAGCATCGACCAGGAGCCAGACAGACCCGAGCTCAACCCTGCCTCTTCCCCTTGACCACTCATGTGCTTTGGGCAAGTTATTCAGCCCTGACTCAGTTTATTCATGTGTGCTCAATCAGATCGGGAGTGGACATGTTGCACTGGCTCAGCCTTAGGGCTTAAAAAAGGGTCTTCCTTTGGCTAATATTTATTGAGTGCTTTCTCTGTGCCATACATGGTACCTGGTGCCCTAACGTGAGGAAACTGAGGCTTAGGACAGCTGAAGTTCCCCCAGGATCCTGCATAGCAAGAGGAGGAAGAGCTGGCATTGACCCACTACCTAACATATCACCCATTAGTTGATGCCTAAGGAATAAAAGAGCAGGGCCTATCTGAAATCTCAAATCCTCAAGTCTGTCTTTGCAAGGCATTCCTGACATGCTAACATTCCTGGACCCGTGGACCCCTCCCCTCGGCCCCCACCAGCAGCCTCCTTGCCTAGATGTCCAGACACTGGAACTCAGGCCAGCCCTTCCAGATGTTACCAGCTGTGCTACTTCTATGGACCCTAGACTGGGTAAGACAAGCAGAGGCTGTGGGTGGGAAAGAAAGGGTGGGCATGGAGGACTCAGCCAGGGTAATAAGCAAATAATTCAAGTAATCCTATCACTTCTGGGAGCCATGGAAGTTGAACTCGCTGGCGAGGAAAAGTGTTGTTGTGGCGCCATCTGCTGGACATGTGCTCATTGCCGTGAATTTGTGGCAAAGCCAGGTGCAGGTCTCAGACCTGTGGCTTTTCCACCCTGGCTGGAGACTGGGACCTGGTGGAGACAGTTTCGGGGGGACCTTTTGTGATAGTTATGCTATAGGGTTTTTTTATTAGTGTGAAACAATGGTTTTCCCGAAATAGATTACAAAAGCCTGGCATCCCCAACTATCTTGTGAAAAACACAGAACCCATCTTCCCTGTTGGGACCAGAGAGGAACTTGGCTTTTGTAGGGGACGGGGGAGCATTTTTGTCCCATAAAGTGGACCCCAGTCACCACATGTATACACATAAAATACAGTTTGAGGCACTGCAAAGTGAAATATTAAATATCTTTTATTCCCCTTTTTTAAAAAAAATTTGTATTCAGTGATTTACAGTGAGAAACTTATGGTTTTTTTTAAAGACCAGAGCATAGCAAATGGGGTCTGGGAGGCTGCAGTCGTACTGCACGTGGCAATGGGGCTGTCAGCTGTGGAAGGACTGGAACGAGGTCTTAACATCCTGCAGATGTAGTCACCAACATGCGACTGAAGGTCACACGTAAAAGGCCGTCCCTGCGTTCACAGAGCTTGCGGTCAGCGCACAACTATGACAGATGTGGCAGGTCCGTGTGACCACACAGGAGGAGAAGCCTTGCTGAGTCCCGGGTGGGATCAGCACCGATGCACGGGGGTTTGCCATAGAAGGATGTTTTCCTTAATTTTTAATAACTCCGCTTTCCGATTGACCACCAGCCTCGATCTCTGTCCTCTCTGAAAGCTGCTTATTATCTGTCATAGGATTTAGCAAAGTCGCAGACAGCTCTCTGAGTACCTAACCCAGTGAAAACCTCAGTTGTTGTCAAGGGGCATCCTCAAAACTGTTCTGGACACTGGAGGCAGGGTCAGTGCCTGGCGTGCCCTCAGGGAGAAGCAGGTGACACTTGGCCGAAAGCCACTTAATATGTGTGTTAGCTTGGCTCTCCTCCAAGCAAAACCTTGCTCTCCAGGGTGTAAGTGGAGATAACGGTGGGCTTATTTTTACTTTTTCTTTCTTTCTCCTACTCTGCAATTTTATCAAAGAAGTTAGTTTAAAAAAAATGGAAAAATTTTTTTAATTATTATTAATTTTTTTTTCTTTTTTATTAGAAAATGATCTCAGGCCTATGCAAAAAATGGAAAAATTTTAGCACTTCTGAAAATCCAGCCATTCACTCCATAGCAAACATTCATTGATTTCCGATTCTGTACCAGTTACTGTGCCAGGGGGTGTGGATGTCCCCATTTGCAGGACATTCACTGCTCTCAATTGCTGCACAGTCTGGTGGGGAACCCAGGCCAGAAAACAGATGTTTGTAATAGAGTAAAGTACAGCACATGCAAAACATAGAGAAGCCCAGGACCCCAGCCCAGCTTGGGGAAAGGGGCCGTCAGTGGGTTTCCCACAGGTCATGGCCTGGTTGAACTGAATCCTGTCAACACAGAGTCTTGTGGAATTGCTAAGATGGGGCGAGCTCACTGCCGTTGGGCTGCACCATCCTGTGACCTGTGACGGCCCCATTGAAAGGCAGGTGGGTCTGTAGTCCCATCTTGCTCTCTTTACTGGATTCACAGGATGGGAGACAGGTTATGACCCCTGGTACACAACTTACAGGGTTCCACATTTGTTCTGTGAGCCCATCTTCCTCCTAGATCACCCCAAGCTCTTGTAGGGGATTGGGGTGGGAGTAGAGGTTGCCTACAGCTCTTTGTGGCCCTGAACTGGCCTACACCAACACTCTCCAACAAAGTGAGCCCAACACCCTGGCCTGGCCTGCTGGGCTTTGATCCTCACCTGCCTCTGTGTCTTCTCTCAGATCGGTTAAGAGTCCTTAGGGGGCAAGGCAGCTGAGTGCATCCTCCTCTCCCCAGACTCCAATTGTAAGGCTTAGTGATGTCACTCAAATATCTTGTGCTAGTTTTTGCTTTCTTCGTTACTCTCCTACACCATTTTTTTTATTTTTAAATTTCAGAATATTATGGGGGTACAAACATTTTGGTTACATATATTGCCTTTGCACCACCTAACCCAGAGCTACAAGTGTGCCCACCCCCCAGACAGTGTGCTCTGCCCCCATTAGTTGTGAATTTACCCACCCCCCTCCCTAGAAGAAAATGTTGGAAAAACTCTTACACCATTTTTTTAAAGTACCATTTATCTTACAGTTTACCATGAGTGCAGGGCAAGGTTAAGTGTTCACATGTCTCAAGCTGGGCGTGGTGGCTCACACCTGTAATCCCAGCACTCTGGGACGCCAAGGCAAGAGGATCGCTTGAGCTCAGGAGTTCAAGACCAGCCTGAGCAAGAGCGAGACCCCATCTCTACTAAAAATAGAAAAATTAGCCGGGCATGGTGGTCCCAGCTACTTGGGAGGCTGAGGCAGGAGGATCGCTTGAGCCCAGGAGTTTGAGGTTACTGTGAGCTAGGCTGACACCACGGCACTCTAGCCCGGGCAACAGACCGTGACAAAAAAAGTAATCACATTTCTCAAAGAATTCAGTCACTGGCTGGTGTTGGAGCCCGGGCACGGCTGACTCCTGAGTCCAGCCCCAAAGCACTCCACGGCCCTGCCCAAGCTTTCCCTCTGAGAGAGCTCTCCTCTGTCCCCTGTTCTGAGCAGCTGTGGTAGGGAAGAAAGGAGGTAAGTGAGGGAGCTCGTCTCCCGCTGGGTGGAAGGGACTGCTGGTGGCTGCCAGCAGGCGAAGCAGACTGGGCGGGGCCTGAGTTATGGGTCAGCACTTTGTGGACACTGTAATCACAGGTGCTCCCAGTGAGTTTGTGAATATGCCTTTTCCTTCCTGTTTATCAGTATGAAAAGAACAAAATAAATAAGAAAACATAAGTCCTTCGTTAAATAACAAAGGGAAAAACTTGGTCTCCTTCTCTTTGATATTCTCTGTATGTAACTCTTGAGCTTCAGAATTTCGTTCATTTGAATCCCCACTTCTACCGCCTTTCCTTAGAGTTGGTTTTCCTTCCCTGGATTCAAGGGCTAAATGGGACCGCGTTGTGCTCGTCTTGGGCTTGCAGACCGACCATACTTTTCTCACGTCTCTATCACGGCACATACATTGTGCCCTAACTTTGTATTTACACGACTGGAACTCCGCAGGTTTGGAGGTCTTCGAGGGAAGATGCTTTCATTTTTGCATGTCCCAGAGCAAGGATCTCATCCTGCACCGTTAACTCTAACAAACGTTGGCCGGAAGAATGGCTGGATAAGAAAGTGCCACATGAGCGCTGGCCCCGCAGGGTTCACTGCCTCTCTCACGCTTTCTAGCAGGCCTGGCGCTGTGCAATGGAGTAAGCACGGAGCCATGTGTACTATTCCGTGGCATTATCGACCGATGTGCAGCTTTTAAGGTTCGCACGAGCAGGGGCATTACCGTCAAGCACGTTTTCTCGCGCTGCACGGGGTCTGCCCCAGAAGCTGCCAGCTCCTCCCAGGGACCTCGCCTTGCGAGCTGACCCCTCCTCTCTCTCTCTCCGCAGCGGTCCCAGTCTGCGTTCTCGATCACCGGAGAAGATGCCCTGAAGACCTCTTCGCTGGGGGCGGCGTCAAGGCCACCGAGGGACCAGGGCCAGCACCCGAGGGAGGAGCCTGCTCTGCCCGGCTGGAAGAGCGTGGACAGACTGGACGAAACAAGTAACGGTTTTAAGCAGCCTGTGTTGGCCTGTGGGTTCCACAAGTGCTCTTTGGAGGCTCCTCGGCTGTCGCGCGGTCACGAGGCTCTTCTCCCCGTAGGTCTGAGTTGGTGTGTGCCATTTGGGGCCGCTGGGCCAGGCCATGAGGCCACCCACACGACACGCAGTATATATATTGTGGTTGAGTTTTTCCACCCAGGCAGTTGTCCTAGTTGCTGTGGCAGCATGAAGGCCCCGGCGGTGTCACCTGTGTTCCATGTTCCGTGCTGACACCTGGGGCACAGTGAGGGCTGCTGGGCACGTGTGCTCAGATCCCCCTGCCGCACGCCCCCCTTCAGCTGCCTGCTCTGTGTGTGGACCACAAAAGCAGTCTCTCGGGGCATTTCAGCTTTCAAAGGGACTTGGGTCCCAGAATCAATCTGGTTTTAAGAGTGTCATCCTTTCTGAAACTGGATATGTTAGGGTAACACTCGCTGCTATAACAAATAAATCAAACATACCAGTGGCTGGACATGATAGTTTTTCTCTTTCATCTTACAGCAGTGCAGTGCAAGTGTCCCTGGCCTGTGGGAAGCCCTGCAGGGCTCTGTCGTCCTCTGGGGTCTCTGAGTCCAGTGCCGGCCTGCCCACCTTCGGCCAGCAGATGGCAGAAGAGAGAATGGGCAGGGCAGGGTTCCCGCCTCCCAGCCACCTCAGTGGGGAAGGGCACAGGGCACCCACTCCCATCCTGTGGGCAGGAACTCGTCACATCCCTCTCCCCCATGGCAGAGGGGCCTGGGAAATGTAGTCCTGGCTGAGCAGACACAGCGTGGCTCAGGGCCTTTGATGTGTCTATTCCCGCCACACGTGAGGATGGCGTTGCGGGGCACTTGTGCCTCTGCCCCTCCTGCGTCCTTCTCCTAGAATGTCCTGCCTCTACATGGGGCAGTTAAACTCACCTCTTCAGAGAGTCTTTGATGTCTAGGACACATCCTTTATAACGCTGTTGAGTCATGTAGTCCCTCAGAAGGAAGAGATCCTCAAAGTAGCCAAGTCGCTTTCCTGAAGCCACACATCACAGGGCTGTGAGATGCCTGGACCCACGTGGGCGACAGCTCAGGGCCACGAAGCCCCGGTGCTGCTCAGGGGTCTCTCGGACCACACGGCTATCTGGGTAAAGGTGCCCCCAACCCAGCACAGGCCTGTTTCTGTCCTCACATAGATACACACACTGGATAGCAGGAGCCAGGTGCATCTGTCCTCACGTGGGGAAACCATTAGCAGTATTCTCATCCCATGGTATTTGTCAGACCCAGACCCTTTTCCTGAACAATGACAAAAAGAGATTAACAGCAAAATCACCACCCTAGAAATAAGCTTTTGAAGATTGTGCTATCATTTCTACTCTAAAAGGGAAAAGATTTAACCAACAGCTATATAAATAAAATCCATTGTTATCATAATGCAAAGAATCAGAAAACATTAAATATTTTTTAATTGTCATTCCAAAGATTTTCCAAAAGTGATCATTTCTGTTAACCTTTCAGTACCTATCAGTAGAAACTGCAGAATCATGACATTGCAGAGATTCTGTAGCACACAATATTTTCTTTATTTATGGATATAGCTTTCGTGAGGTTTTTTAAGTGCATTTCCTTTCTAGATATACCTTTCTTTACCCCACCTACCCAGCATATTCATATTCATTCATTCATTCATTCATATTCTCTCTCTCCCTCACCTTCTCTCTCTCTTTCCCTCTCTTTTTCTCCGAATTGCAAATTCCCCCAGAGAAGGGACCCTTAGATTCCACAGGGCATATGAGAATATCATATAATGGATCTTCAATAAACAATAATATTTAGCTTTTAAAAATCACTCTGTAGCATACAGAGTCCATATGCAGGCACTATTTTATTTATTCCTCCAGCAGCATTGCTAAGCACTGTCATTGTCCTGTTTGACAGATGAGAATATTAATTGGCAGCGAAGTTAAATGACTTGTTCAAGACCCCAAGGCCTCAGCTAACATGACCAGCGTTGGTCCTCAAATCCAAACATCATAGTTCCAATTTGCAGGCTTTTTAAACTACTGATGATAATAAGTGTCTCTCTACCATAAAAACAAACAGAAAGCCAGCGTTTTAAAATCCAGACTTATAAAGCGATAAATTTATAGAGTGTTATAATAACTTCTGCGAGACACTATTTCACAAAATAGTTCCCTGGTGGATTATGAGCATTCCTAATAAATTTGCAAGGGAATTTAGTTTTCAAAACATGATTTTGCATATATTTTTCTGTAAAATTAGGCACCTATATGTAATTTATCAATTCTATATAAACATAAAACTTAGTTCAGCAGCATCACACACATACAAGATTTCATGCTCTACTCAAAAATCTATGCATGTCCCAGGATGTAGAATTAAAATAAAAAATAAAAGCACTTCAGTAGAAAACTTCTGGTTTTTCTGAGGAATGCTCAGCCCTTGATATGCTAAAATATCCATGCCCCCAGAAGTGTTTAGGGATGTCTGATGTGTTTAGCAGGAAGAAAATTATTCCCAGAGGCATTGTTCAGTCTCCCTAGAGCAGAAGTGTAGAACAGAGGAGTCCCAGAGGTGGCGGTCATCTTACATGGTTACTGTCCCCTGGGCTGTTTTTGGCAGTTGTGTTTATGCCTCAGGAGAAGGGCTGGCCCAGGAGCTGTTAGGGCACAGTCAGCAGCAGCCTTGCTAGGGCAAATGGCAGCAACTCCACCATCAGTCTGGACAGTGCATATGGCAGCTCATGGATTCCCCAAAATACACGTTCATGTGATAGACCTTGATTGAGCATCTGTTGTATACATAGCTTGTGATCAGTATTCGGGAAATAAAGATGAGGCGTTGCCACTGTTCTGGAGTTGCTCACTGAGAATTGTTTGTATGATGGTGAAAGAGCAGGAGTTTGGAGGGAAGAGAGGATGGGGGAACAGGCCCGCAGAGAGATGCTCCTGGCAGACTGCAAGAAAGTGGCATTGGAGCCCAGGTACCACTCTGAGCAGTTCTGATGATGCAGCTTGACAGCCACCAAGGTTTTCGCAGGGCTGGGTATTCAGGGATCCATCTGTTTTTGCTAAGAAGGATGGAGGATTTTTGCTGAGATAAAAGTTGGCCAACTTCTAGCTTCCCCAGAAGCACATGGCAACCTGGGGTTGTCAAAGGCAAGGGAAGACAGGAGCTGGCAATGGACTGAATCCTGTCCCACCATGTAGTGAGAGTTGGAGTCCAGGGACCATATTCGCAACATGGTCAACCCTAGAGCCAGGCATTGAGTGGGATTAGCAGGGGATTTCCCACTTTAGCTTCCTCCCAGGCCCAAGGAGAAGCTGTAGACAGCAGGACTCATTGGCAGCTGCACACCGAGAGCCCAGCCTTGCCCCTGCAGCCTGTTGGTGCCTGTGTTCGCCAACAAGTCGTCTTTATGTGCCCAGGATGGGGCTTAAAGCTGGCCAGGGGTTGGGGGTACTGCAGCCAAGAAGGCGAGGCTCTGTTCTCAAGGAGCTGATGGTCAGGGCTGGGTACAGACTAGACAACCAAGAAAATAAACTAATACAGTTTAAGTGTTAAAAAATAAATGAATAAAGGCTTTTTGTTTTTTTGCAAAGCTCAGAGCACAGAATAGCCAGCTCCTCAAGTAAGGAAAGCCAAGAATGTGCCACTAAGGAGCAATGTGAGTCGAGAGTCTCAGGAGATGGTCCAGAAAGCAGACTTAGTATCTAATTGTAAGGTTGGAAGGACTTTCCCTTTCTTCTCTGAGTGAATGCACCCCAGCTGGGCACTGGGTCTGCTTCGCATCTTATACCTGTGGGTGTCTCTGTTTGACTTCTATAAGAAGCAGACCCTAATGTGAGACTTTGAGGATCTGTAGTTTATTTGGGAGGTGAGCCCAGAAAACACACAGAGAGGGGAGGGGACATAGGACGAGGAAGGAAAGGTAGGCAGTCAATGACTTGCTACCAAGCAGGTTCCCACTGCAGTGACCGGAGCTTGTCCCTGCTGGAGACTCTGGGAGCCAGGATAGAAGACAACACCTACCAGGCAGGTGAACCGGGTATTTCGCCACCAACTCCTCAGGTATTGGCTGAGAGTTGCTTCCAAAGGTGGTTCCTGAGCATTTCCACGCTGCTCCTGGGGCAGGTGACGTAGGCTCTAGCTGCCAGAGCAGCCTCAAGTAAAGACTTGCAATTGCTGACATGTAGAAGGCAGCTGACGTGCACTGAAATGGCAGGGGCCGAGGTTTGGGGTGGGGCACCCATGGGGAAAATCAATATTGCCACTTAGTGGCCACAAATAGCTTCCCTGAGAGCCTGAACGTTCCTGAGAACCTGTACCATCTGATGGACGGCCTCAGGGCCCAGCACGGGGAAAACGCCAGCAAAATGAAAATACTTTTCTCGGAAGACCTGCTGCTACCACCAACACGAGTAGAGCCCATAGAGTACAAGTGGTAATAAACACCCTGGTTAGCCACTCTCCTGGATGTTTATATAGTCAATGAAAGCAGTGTTGCTGCATAGATATTAATATATCATACTGAATAGTGACTATATATATGCCTATATATATTGCCTATATATAATGCCTATATATAAGGCATATGTGTGTGTGTGTGTATCTGTTCTGTATGTACATACATATGGAGTACATGGGTGCTGATTCATAATCAGATGTTAAATACTAAGAACTATAATCCAATCTAACAAATATAAGGTAAAATAGCTGAGAGTGCTCAATGTAGCAGGTACTGTGATCAGTGATTTACATATGTTATCTCATGATAATCTTAATGGCAGCCAAGGTGGGTCCCACTGACCCCACTGATAGGCTGGAAATGGGCTCAGCAGTGCTCGCTGACCAAGGTCACCTGCTAGTAAACTTAGTAACTGAGGATGAGCTCTGGATCCGCTTGAATCCAGAGGTCTTGTTTTTTGTCCCGCACTAAACAGCATCATCCATTCATGGGCACAGGGAAAGGAGCTGTCAAGAGCCAATCTGCTCTGAGCGGGCATGGGTGCCACACTTTAGGAGCGTCCCCTCATGCAGTCCTCACGACAGCCCCGTGAGGCGTTAGCTATGCCCTCGTCACCACCAGCGAGGAAACTGAGGCCCAGGGAATCACCCGGCTGTTGAGCAACTGCGTGGGGTTCCCCCCGGGCTCTCTGGCTTGGAGGCCACTTGTCTTTCCATTGCACAAGCTGGCTCTGGGACACAGCAGGCTCCATTTGCTCCTGAGAATGAAGAGATGGCTAAGATCCAGGCCCTGCCACAGAGATCTTGTCACCTGGAGGATGGCTCAGTGTGCGTGTGAACAGGGAACACAGGGAGGACAATCACACCAGGCGGGCTCAGAGACGAGATGCCCCAAGGTGGAGAAGAACACGCTCCAGGGAAACAGGGGCAATGGGGCTGAGGTGCTGGAGGGCCACTGGGGCTCACTGTATAGAGATGATGGAGAGGGGGCAGGAGCAGCAGGAGAAAGGCCGGGCACATGGCCTCAGGCTTCCAGGAACCCACTTCTGGGGCCCAGCATCATCTGGCAAAGAAAGCCCCACTTCCTGATTCTCAAAGGAAGGGAACTCGATGTCCTGCCAGTGCAAGCTACAGTCAGGCACACGGGGTAGAACTGGGTTGCTCAGTTGAAAACATGTTCCGCCAATATCTGAACTCCCCTAAGGCTGCGGATCTAAAACAGGCCTAGCAAGGACAATGTTCTGTGGACAACACTGTAAAGTACTGATAACTTTCATTTCATTATATGGAGCGGTAGCCGTTCAATTGGTAGAAAACCTGTGTATTTTAAGTAGCATGAAGTAGGAGGTGCTACTGCAGCAGAGCTCTGGTCCCTGTAGGCCTCAAGCCTAGAAGCTGGCATCCAAACACAAGTTGGGGAATGGTCCCTCCAAAGCCCTGGGTCCTTTGTCATCCACCCTCAGACAGCCCTGTAAGGGACCTGGTTAAAAAAAAAAAAAAAAAGCTCCTGCTGGCAGCTGCAGTGTCCCAGGCCACAGGGCTGGGCCGGCACCCACAACTGAAGGAACACCATGTCATCTTACTCCCCACGCCCCATGCACAGGCACAAAAAACACTTTTTCCTGTTTGCCTGCAGCAAAAACAAAACAACTTTTACCACCCCCCAGCATGCAGGTCAACCACCGGGGCCCAGCCACCAATCATCCCAGATGCTCGGGACAGACCTGAGCCCGGTTCAGACCAATCCAGACCAGAGCTACAGATGAAGCTCTATTCCAGCCTGCTCTTGCACGGACCTTTCCAGCTGGCCAGGGCTCCCATGGCGCAGTCTGTAACCCAGAGCTGCCTTGGAGTAGGATAGAAGATGCCCCCATCCCAACTCGATCAGTTAGCAGCTCTGTGACCTTTGACAAGTTGCTTCTCTTTTTGTTTCTTCATCTGTAAGATGAGATTGGAAATACCAACCTCTTTTGGCTTCATGCCCTTTCCAGAATATGGCATGTGTCTTGAGTTAAAAATAGACATGCCTATCTCAGGAGGCTGTGAGTGGGATCTATAAAGGTGCCAAGGGCAGACGTGTTACCCTGCGAGGTAGGCCAGGGCAGGTGGTGGAATTATTTCCCATCAGTGAGTGGGAACTGAGGACACAAGAGACCAAACCATGGCCCAAGGTCAAAGAGCCAGAAGCTGGGACTTCCACCTGCAGCCTTCTCCCCTCCCTGTCCAAGCCAGCCCAGGGCAGCAGAGCAAGGTGGCGTCTACCCAGATACACGTGAAATAGGAACCAGATCTGTGAGTTTTTCTCCATCTGTGCAATACTGGGGCCCTGTGAGGCTTCAAGGGACTTCTGGGAGACCTTGCAGCTCTGCCCATAGTTACGTGCACGCTCCTGAAGGCAGCTGCTCCACGGCACCGCCAGGAGCCAGTCATGGGGAGGGGATCGGCGGCAACCTCCCCTTGCTCTAAGGCGGTAACAGCCCCTCTCTCCTTTCTCTTCTCCACCTGCAGACCTGGCCCCAGTCTTGCAGAGCCCCGATGGGAACTGGGTGGCCCTGAAGGATGGCGCTCCGCCCCCCACCCGCCTGCTGGCCAAACCCAAGAGTGGGACGTTCCAGGCCCTGGAGGTGGCCTCCAGTGTGGCGTCTGCCTATGACGAGATGGGCTCCGACAGCGAGGAAGACTTCGACTGGAGTGAGGCCTTGAGCAAGCTGCGCCCGAAGTCCCGGGGCCTGCCCAGGAACCCGCAGCCTCAGCCCACGCAGGCCCAGGGCTGTGACCAAGGCCCCTTAGCCGCGTCCCCCTCCTCTGGGCTCTCCCCCAATCCCGAGGCCATGTGCTCTGACTCAGAGACCTCCTCGGCAGGCTCTTCCCGGGAGGCTGGGCGCAGGGCCAGACTGTCCTGGTTGCAGAGGAAGGCCCCCAGGACCCCTGCAGCTGAGAAGATGCGCATACAGGGGGAGCTGGACGTGAACTTCAACCCCCAGGTGGCCAGCGGGGAGACCTCAGACAGCAGCGAGCCAGAGGAGGCCCTCCACGCTGCAGACCGCCGGGCCAGGAGGTGGAGGAGGGCCCGAGTGGGCTCGGAGGAGCCAAGCAAGGAGCCACCTTCCCCCAGCGCCCATCAGGACCAGGACATACATCAGGTAACAGAACTGCATGCGTGCAAACGTGCACACACTTTTAAAGTAGGGTGCCCCCACGCAAGCACGAGTGGCATAAAGAGTCCTGGGATTCTCATCTTGATTTTGCTGCTGAGTAGCTGAGTGACAGGTCACATCAACTCTCTGGGGCCCTGTGTCCTCCTCTTTGGAGAGGATAGCTTAGAATTCAAAGTGTGGTTTGCAAAGGGTGTCCCCCAGACCGGCAGCATCAGTACCACCATGGGACTCACTAGAAATGTGTATTCTCGGGCCCTGCCCCAGATCTGCCGAATCAGAAACTCTGAGGATGGGGCCGACTCGTGTCTATCACGACAAGCCCTCCTGCTGACTCTACCATGCACTGACGCGTAAGGGCCCACTGGGTCAGGGTTAAGGGTGAAGGATCTAGAGCAGGGGTCCTCAAACTTTTTAAACAGGGGGCCAGTTCAGTGTCCCTCAGACCGTTGGAGAGTGCGGCGCACATTCCACACATGTGCACCGTGGGCCCGGGATGAGTCGGCTGCTAAGCAGGACAGGCAGTGGTGGCAAAAACACCCGGCGGGCCGGATAAATGTCCTCGGCGGGCCGCATGTGGCCCCCAGGCCATAGTTTGAGGACCCCTGATCTAGAGTCAGACTCACTTGGTTCAAATCCAACTCTGTGACCTTGGGCAAGGCATCTCTCTAGTTCTCAGTTTCCTTGTCTGTAAAATGAAGATGACACTAGCACCCACCTTGAAGGATGGCTCTGACAAGCGAATGAGATAATGCCATAAAGAGCTAAGCTCTGTCCTAGCTACAGCACAAGGGCTCAGTAAACATTATTTCAATATAGTAACTCAGGGCACAGTTTACTAACGTCCTGTGATTCTTTGTTGAAATCACACCCCTCCTCAGGATCCTCAGTGCCTCTGCCCACGTGGTTTAGTTCATGAACCCCCTTTGAAAATGTGATTAAAGCTAGGAATTCTCTTCATAGAAAAATGCACTTGTATATACACAGACATGCACACCTTGCTTACAATTTCAGACAGCTCATGGATTCCCAACAGATTAACTTTATTTTTATTTATTTATTTATTTATTTATTTTTTAGATAGAGTCTCACTTTGTTGCCCAGGCTAGAGTGAGTGCCATGGCGTCAGCCTAGCTCACAGCAACCTCAATCTCCTGGGCGCAAGCAATCCTACTGCCTCAGCCTCCCGAGTAGCTGGGACTACAAGCATGCACCACCATGCCTGGCTAATTTTTTGTATATATATTTTTAGTTGACCAAATAATTTCTTTCTATTTTTAGTAGAGACGGGATCCTACTCAGGGTGGTTTTGAACTCCTAAACCTCGAGCAATCCGCCTACCTCGGCCTCCCAGAGTGCTAGGCAGATTAACTTTATATTCTCTAACTACTCCCTGCTCGTTCCCAGCCCTGTGCCTTTGACTGTGTGGTGGCCTAGCCCTCGCCCCTTCCAGTGAGAGCTGCACATTACTGTGGACCCCATACCAAACCTTGCGGAGCCCCCACTGGGCTCCCCATTGCAGTGTTTTCCAAACTCAGAAGTGACACATATGACCTGGAAAGTTTAAATGACCTCATATAAGCAGTGGATTGCAATATCTGAAGCTGAGAATCTTATGGAAAAATCTAGTTACATTGCCACTGCCTTTAGTAGGCATGTAGTCATGATCACATTACCATGAACTTGACTTTTTACGCTCCTGGAGAAACCGCACCCACTTCCTACAGGTGATTGCAGCTCCCACAGTACCTAGCTACCATGCCCTGCACTCTTGGTTTGGGTTCCCCCAAAAGCAGGCTCTGAGTCAAGGAATCAGATCTAGGCAGTTTATGTGGGAGGAGATCCCAGGGACTCCAGGGAGAGAGAGGGAAGTGAGAAAGGCCAATTGAGGTAGGCCGCAGGCACCAGGGCTCAGTCCCACTCAGCCCCGCTGTCTGACAAGCTAAGAATTCTCCCGCCAGAGGACAGGGATCATTATCCATGGTTTCCCATCTCCCAGTGATTGAGGGTTGTCCTGACCCAGGTTGGGCCTCAATTCCATACACAGCCATGTTTGCTTAGGCAATACCTAGGAAATCTCTGAGGTGGAGAAGAAGGGAGACCTAGATTTGCAATGGGAAACTATCAGTGGGCCAGAAACTGTCACCCACAAGCTGGAACATCACCAGTGCCTGCCACAAGAAGGCCTCAGCCAGATTCCTGGTCCTGAGGCCACCATGAGTATAGTTGTGGGCTTAGAGGTCCTTATGTCCTGCCTGACCTGCTAATACGTTGCCTAGAAAAAGTCTTTTTATTTGGTCCAAGCTCTGATTTTCTCTACTGTAAAACAGATCATTAAAAATCTGCTTCATGGGGTTGTTATGATCATAGGATGAATATAAAAAGTTTGCTTCAACTGTGAATCATCATTATCTAGCTCCGGTGGAGACAGTTGTCCTGACAGTTTGGGTGACTTACCTCAAGGTATATTCTTGAGGGTGGTCTGCGTGCCTAACTTGCAGATATAAAATGCCACATCTCCCCATCTATTAGGTCCCTTAAGCTTTCTATGTATTCTGGAGTGGCTTGAAAGTTCTCTTCTGGTGTTAAACTTTGCAAGGCATTGACAGGGAGAAGGCACGGACCAGCAGAAAGGCCCTGGGACCAGGGTTACCTCTGCCATCCTGGGAGCAACCTTGAGCAAGTGGCAGTGTCTTCTCCTCCCCACTAGGTGGGGCTGGTGCTACGCTTCCAGAGACATCAAAACCTGGCCCTGGGCATCCTCCCTTCGATTTGGTTTACCAGGGCAGTTCTCGACTCCCCCCAAAATAAAGAAAATAAAATTATATATTTAAATTATGAACTTTTATATTATATAAATAAATGATATAAAACAAACGTATATAGCATAATATTAAAAATATTACAACATACAGGTGCTGTCCCCCTTGACTACAATCCTAAATCCTTCTCACCTCCCCGCAAATGACTACAAGTGGATTTGGTGGGAATCCATACAGATCTTTAAGCATTCATGTACATGAAGTACTTTTGGAAATATAGTTCAGTAAATGTATTTTTTTGTCTTAGCAAAGTTGGCATCCTGCTTTCCATATTCATCCACCACTTTCTCCTAATAGTAAGCGACAGTGATGTCGGCGGTGCACACAGATCTATGTGTTCTGCCTACAAAAGATTGCATCGAGATGGGGTACCATGCGGGGACCATAGGGGTGGGAGCAGTCCATCCAGGGTGCGGGCAATGGGGGGTGCATTTCCTGTAGAGAATTTTAAAATAAATCCAATACACGGCCATCTTTTATTATCACCTTGCACCGTGCCCGGACAATTCTAAGGAAAACTCATGATGACGTTCTCTTCCCCACTGGGTCAGGTGGCTTCCGGCACCTGCCTCTTGAGCCCCTTGGTTCACCACTGTTCCATAAGGATGAATATTTTAAGACTTATTCAGTGTTTTGCTATTATAAACAATGCCACAGAGAATATCATTGTGCAAAATGTCTTTAAACAAGAAGTGTAATTGCTAATTTGAAGAGTGTATGGGTCTTTAATTACAAAGTAGAATTGCCAAATTAAGCTCTCAAAACTTCATAGCAATTTACATAGCCATTACAGTGTATGAGTATGTTCTCTCATGTTGTCAACAATAGTGTTGTCAGTCTGTTAAATTTTTGCCAATTTTATGTGAGAAAAAAAGTTTCATTTTAGCTAACATTTTTGTAATTACTACTGAGATTGAGCATTTTTTTCCATGTGTTTAAAGCTGTTTGCATTTTGTCTCCTGTGAAAGCCACATTTATATTTTTATCTATTTTATTGGACTATTTTTTCTTATTGATTTTTAGGAGTTTTATCTTATAATTATATTATGCATTTTATTTCTTTGATGGTTATACATGAAAATACTCTCTACTTGTCTATCATTTTTGCCTTAACTTTAAGTATATTCTACATACAAAAATGTTTGTTAATAATTTATCAACTATTTTGGTTATTCATTATTTATCAATATTTCCCTTATTATTTTTGCATATTGTGTGTTAAGAAGGCCTTTAGTCCCCAAGGTTATAAGAATTTTTTCCAATTTTTTCTAGTGCTTTGTAGTTTTGTGTTTTCCATTTAGTCCTTTAGTTCATCGGTATTTTACTTTTCTGGAAGATATGAGGTAAGAGCTAGCTTTCATTTTTTCAAATTAAGCATTTGTTACCAAATCATTATGAAATAATGCATTATTTATCTGCTGGTTTCAGATGCCCCTTTAATATACATTAACCTTCTTTTATTTACATGAGCCTGTTTTTTTACTTTCTATTTTCTTCCACTGATCTATAAGTCCCATGTATAGTAGTATATATGTACTTTATTTTAATTATAATAACTTCGAACTATATGTTGGTATCTTGGTGGGTGGTCTTCCCTTCACTGTTGTTGGTTTTGCTGATAATGTTACCATTTTCTGAAAGTGTCTTGGCTTTTCTCAGTCCCTTACTCAGATGATTTTTAAAATCTGCTATTCAAGTTAGAAAAAACATCTATTCAAGTTTTGATTGGAATTGCACTAAATATATGTACTTACTTGGAAATGATTTATATGTTTATAATATTGAGCTTTCCCATCTAAGAAATATTATTATTTCCATTTATTTATTTTCAGTGAAGTTTTATAGATTTTTTTCAAAGCTCTTATACTTTTCTCATCAAGACAGATTCTTGCTCTGTTGTCCAAGCTAGAGTGTCGTGGCATCAACCTAGCTCACAGCAACCTTAAACTCCTGGGCTTAAGCAATCCTGCTGCCTCAAACTCCCAAGTAGCTGCATGTGCCACCATGCCCGGCTAATTTTTATATATATATATTTTTTAGTTGTCTAGCTAATTTATTTCTATTTTTAGTAGAGATGGGGTCTCGCTCTTATTCAGTCTGGTCTCAAACTCCTGACATCAAAGGGATCCTCCCACCTCGGCCTCTCAGAGTGCTAAGATTACAGGG